TTCTTCCTTCAGGTTGGGCCGATATTACAAGTACCTCCATCCAATACCAGGTTGACTTCCATGCTGCCTTCCCAAGTTGCCAAGTCACCACGTACCTACGTACCTTCCACTTTTTACAGATACCTACCCTCACGCAGCAGGAAGGCAAGTAGGGGGAAGAGAGGGAAAGAGAAAATGGGACAAGAAGGAAAGAACATGTCTACGGGTACCTACCTACCTCATGGATGGCAATGTCCTTTCTCAGCTGATACCGTGGATTGAGGTTGTTCTTTCCCAGAAATGCGGCGTGCCTCGCTCTGCCTTGCTTTGCCTCTTGCCTGGCGACTGCCCCATGCTGAGTTGTCCAGCCCGGGCAGGCAGGGCAGATGGGACACCACACCACGCTCCACGACCGTCGACACACCCTCGACGCCTTGCCCTTCGATTCCTTATCTCTGGCCTCCCATCTTGGCCCCCCCGTATCAGGGTTATCAGTGTCAGAGCATCAGTGCTTGCCCCAGTCCACGGCCCATCTGCTGTTCGCTCGCTGCCTTTCCAAGTTCTCTGTGCTTCGATTACCTCGATGAAGTGACATATCTGTATCATCCGTAATCAGTCAGGGCAACCTCGATCCAGTCTGATAACCTTTCTGTGCTTGGCCACCTAAAACCAGAGAGCCTCCCATCTTGTGCCTGCTTCTTGTTAGGAAGCCATTCTCAACCTCCCAACTGCGACTGTGCCGCCAAGTACGCGAGTCGCTCTCTCTCTCTCGCTTCCTCACTTCGCCACTCCTCAACTCGCCGACTGTCGTCATCTCTCCTTCTCGACCAAGGCACTGCGCAACGAATACGATACCAATAGCTAATCAGTACCCTTTTCTCGCAAGCCCATCATCTACCCCGATAACACCGGATTCCGACCATCACAGAACTCCAGGTCCAGCCTTTCCGAGACGAACATCCGACTAATCGTACCTAATACTAATAAACAACATCGTCATCTCGAGTCTCGAATTTCTCCTCGTGACAGTCCACGACAACCTATCCTTCCATCTCACAAGGACGAAAGCATCAATACCCCAAGTCACCGTCAGGCCTTTCCCTGTGGTGCAAATCGATAATAGCATCCTCCACACAGTCGATCATCGTCACCTCTTAACCTCTGACGAAGTACCCGACTCGCGCGCACTTGGCTCTCCACACTCTATTCAAGCACAAGACAAGTGACAAACCGCGCTTTGCACCGACATTACTGGTACACTGGTACATACAAACCCAACCCAAATTCGACGCTGTCAGTACCTATCTGCAAGGGCAGCAAGCAACAATCTCCCAACCCGCCTCCTTGCTTCTTCGATCTCTCGCCTCGTCTGCAGCTCCAGTCAAAAGCCGGGTCCGAATACCACCAGGAACCACGCATCACATCGCATTACACGATACAAGCCTTTCGGCCCCGTGCTCCGCTGCGTCACGTCCCAGCAATCATTGCCCTCGAAAGTTCCGTCGCGATTCCTGCTGGAGAAGGACTATACAAAGCCTCAACGCTGATTAGCTGCGAGACGGTTAACTTTACGTTACCAAAACATCGACGACCCCTGCCCCCGGCACACGACACACTCAAACAGCGACCGAAAGAGGATACAGTACACGCGCTGGAGAAAAAGGCAGAAAGCCAAAGGCCAGACGAGCACGTCCGTTCGACGCCAAAATTCTGACCGAACTGGTCCCCTAATCGTGCAGGTATCCCTACCTACTTCGTCCACAGCATAGTACTCTCGCCCTTGCTGGCACCAACACTGTGTGGCCTGTACGGAATACATCAGTTCAGTGAATCCACTGGTTTGGTCTGTGGTGTCTGAACCACCAGCCCGCCGTGCCCACGCAACTCCACTGGTCAACCCAACCCATCTCCTGCTTAGCCTGGCCCGCTGGGGTTTATGCTGAACAGTCAAGACCGAGCCCGCAGTAGCCCGCTTGCTTTTGCTCTTGACCTGCCTTGCCAGGCCCAGTCCCGGTTACAGCACCACACCCCGAGTTACACCCTCCTCCCCTGCCCAACGCACTGCGGCACCGAGCTGGTTGTGGTTGTGGTTGTGCTCGTGCGCACTCGTGCCTGGTCTGGTCCCCTTCCACACCCCTTCCCTGTCAACCTGTCTTGCCTGTCGGGTCCGGCTTGCCCCGCCGAGCCACTGGCGCACCAGGGCATGTCCAGACGCCGCCATGATGTCCCCAAGGAGTTTCCTTTACTACAATAGGCAGCCCTCGGCCTCGACCACCCCTCCACCATCTTCTCCCTCCCCTTCGAGTCTCACGCGCAATCCGACCAACAACAGCTACGCCGCCAGCCCGAGATCATCCATTGCTACTACTACGACTGCTGCTGCTGCTATCACGAAGACGACGACAACAACCACTCCCGTCAACATCCCCAGAACGGCTTTGCCTTCTGCCCTACTGGATCGGAAAAAGGATGCTCAGAACGTGTCCGTCCCCCTCACGCCTATCCCTACTTCTTCCATTACCACCTCAGCTACCATGGCCAAAAGGAAGGATGCTCGCCGCGAAACTTCTAAGTTGGCGCCTTCGAGCCCTCCTCGGACAACAACAAGCGTAAACACCAGACCGACGACCCCGACTACGCCTGTTCAGATTCCCTCAAAATCAAAGGCGACCCCGTTTTACACCTCTAGCCGCCATGCGCATCGGAAGCCCTCCCGGCCGAGGGATGTTCACTCACCGGACGCCGTCCCGCCTGCCATGCTGGCCTTGCTGGCCGTCACTGATATTCCTAGACCTCGACGCAGCATGAGGCAGAGGCTATCCAGGGACCAGGCAATGACTCTGGAAGCTGTTATCGAGAGACAGCAAGTCTGCGAAAAGGAACTGAGTCTCACTTTCGGCAAGAGCCCCCTAGACTTGCTGTTATCGCCACCCGACGACCTGACAGACGATGATATGTCAGTTAGCGATAGCGGTCTTGGTTCCGTGTTATCTACCAGAACTGTTTCTGTGGAATCGGTTCCTTCACTAGGCGATTCTTTTTCCACCGACACACTGTCGTCGGTCGAGTCACCTTATGGATCCAGCCCGCGGAGGAAGCGCTCCCGCCAACCCAGGCGTTCGCTGGAACCCATCTCATCTCCTCCCGGTCAGCCCGAGGACCATCCACTGTCCCGCGACCGGGTCAGCGTCGACGAGATTGACTTTAGAGTGTTTGACGAGTCTCAGGATGAAGAGGACACCAAGTCAGAGTTCTCATTCTCTGACTACACTTTCCCGCTGCGCCCTCTCAAGTCAGCGTTCAAGTCCAATCTGACTGCATCACTCCGCGCCCTGCGCTCGGCTGCACGATCTATCTCAGCCATTAACTTCTCGTCTATCCCGCCCGACGATTTCCTCACGAGATCCATTCTCACCATCGACCCCAAGGTGCCTTACACGGATGAGCGAAGGCCACCAGTACTCGAGGAGGAGCCGTCGGCTGCGTTGCGCCGGTACCTGAACCCCACGACAAACGCTCGAATTGAGCCCCACCCTGTAGCGGCCACTACGCCGACGGGCACGCGAAGCTTTACTGCGTCTATCCAGATGCAAACATACAAGGTTCAGAAAAGCCGGAGTGCACCACCCACATCAACTCGGAGCCCCTCCCCGGCGACATCGGCGGTCACGACTCAGTCAACACCTTATCAGCCCCCAGCACAATCTCCGACCCAGACCGCATTCACGTATCCTCCAGGAGGCATGCGTCAGCGAGAGATGCGGGAGAACTCGGACTTCATTCGTATCGCAGTCATGGAGATGGCGATGCGCAAGCAGGGCAAACTCGACGACCAACGGCCGGGCCGCGCTCGCTGGGCGTTACCGCCGCGAAAGGCCAGCGTACGCCCTTACGATGTTGGTAGCGACGGCGTCCCAGCACGATGGATTCCAGTGTCGCATTGAAGAAAAGTGTCATGCGAGCTTGGTACATTAAGCGACTATCTATCCAGCCTCTATCGCATCAACCCGACATAGTCCACTACGAGAAGAAGAAAAAAAGAGAGAGATGCAACGCTGCGCACCGATGCCGCAGCGAGGACAGTCTCCACGGCTTGAGCACGTCACAATCCTACGAGGGTTGAGGTTCCAACACCTATGGTCGACGGCAAGCTTGTTTTTTTCCCTCTCTCTTGCAATGGGTGTGGCTTGTTCCATGGCATGGCGCATCCCCCTCCCGCAACGTGCTGCACTACGACGGTGTTGTCCGCGGAGAAGGGCAGAAAGCAAGAAGTGGGAGGGTCGGGGTTCTGCGAAATGTTGTGGGCTTGCCCTGATTGCACCGTCACTGCCGGGTGGAATCGTCATTCAGCAGGGCCCCCCGAGGCGCTAATTTACGGGGAAGCGTTGGGGCCCGCATTCCCACGCAACAAGGGGCCAGACATTAAGTGCCTGCCTTATCCGATATCGCGGAATGGTCAGCATCATCGCACGTCTGGCACTGTGATTTCCCTGTCGGTCTTTGGTCAGAGTGCCGAGACGAGGGCTCCATTTTCTGCCCGAAGCGTCCAAGACGCCGTCTGGGGCCCCCAAGACGAAAAGAGAGACGCTGTTACGCTGGAACTGGCACGACTGGCTAGCGCCCCCAAGGATTTTTTTTTTTCTCTCTCTTCGGTTCCTTCTTGCGCTTCTAGAAGGAGTCGATCTGCGGGCCTTTTTTTACATGCTCTTACCTTACTGTTTGGTAATAGCTAGAGGCACTTTTGCATTTCGCCTACCGCCTGCCGCCTACGGGCGAGGGACTTTTTGATGGCCGACGGCCGACGGCACGCCTTTTCTTCGAAATGAGCACGCACACCTTTTTTTTGCGGGTCAACCTTACCTGCTGTGTTTGTCGACTTTTCCTAGAAGCGAGTATCGCCGACTGAGGAGAGCGGACCGCGAGGCCCGATGAGAGCTGGAGCAGTCTGGGTGAGTCACCCGAGGCGTACCAAAGAAACTGGGGAAGGACGGAGCAATCCAAGAAAAAACGACGGACGCGAGATGCGCTGGCGAGGAATTTGCCCTACGAAAGAATTGGATTTGGAAAGGGGCTTTCTCGAACGACAGAATTGGTGGACACACGTCCGACACACCCTTCGCGCACAAGCGCACGCAGCATACACAGCCAAGCGTCCGTACCTACACGGCCCGGTTCCGAGAGCATGGCCTGATGCCAGCGACATGCGACGAGCACCTCCGAGTTTCCTCATAGCGAGTGAGCTTGGGAGATGCGGGGCTATGACTGGCCAGCGACGTGGGGTCACATTTCACCTCCAACTCAGCACAACGCACGCTGCAAAGCCTCCGGCACAACACACATTCTCTCTCACACGGGTGAGCCAAAGGACCAGGCCACCACACAGCACTTTTTATTTTTATTTGATTCGACACCACATGCATAGCGACGGACTGGGATCATGAGCATTTGAGGCGCATGCATATTTATCATTTTTTCTGTCAATTTTCTTCCCATCCTTCTCGATGCTACTCCGCTCTTCCGGTTATTTCCTTCGACACTAGACTCGGCCAAGGACCCGAAGACAAACCGCTTCAAGGACCCGAAACCCGTAGGTTCGTCGATATCCACTCGGAGGACAAATCCACACCTCACACGCGGGAAGAACTCGGAGGACGCAACCTGTGGGGACTCTTCATCGGATCCGGCTCCAGCAAGAAGTTCCCCCCACGCCAACAGCCCATCTCCTGGCGGGACATTGACTCGACCGTCGCATGTGAAATGCAGGCCAAGTTGTGACGCCAAAATGACCAAACGGGGATGCAGCGACATGACTCAGGGATAGCGCACCACACACAGCAAGACAGGAACAGGGCTGGGGGGGGGGGGGAGGTTCTTTTTTCTTCTTCCCTTTCTGATCTATGCACGCGAAATGCGAGGGGACATAGCGACGACGCAGGAGAGCCGGAGTTTTTGGATTAGCAAGGTGCTGCCGTCAAGGTCGATTTGTTACGGCGCAGCGACGATTCCCAGCATGCGTGGATGGGGACATGGGTATCAAACAATACGGCATCAGAATCCGTATGAGGAGCATAGGCGCACCCTACTGGGGCATATTGTTTTTAGTTGAAGAGCCCAATCTCACATCACATATTGAACAAATATTCTTACAAGCATCTACTAGCGGAGGTTGGAGTGTTGAGTTTCCCACAGACTTTATGCAGGGCAAGCAGCAAAGCCCAGGAACACGTTGCGCGAACAGGGGTCACAAAACGCACTGATGCATGGAGGCCTAACTCCAATGTCCATCGATATTTGGTGCAATGCTAGGTGGATGCAGAGTAACCGCCAGACATGAAATGCTGACCGCCTTCAAAAGACTGGCTGCTGCTGATACTGTTGGAGCAAATGTCCGGATAGAGCGTGCGAAATTGCGACAATATGACCGGGGTGGGCAGACAGGCGGTCAAGTCACACTCACGAGTCACAGGTGGCAGAAGTCTCGAGAAACTGAGGTTGGGCTGCGGACCATCACTCACCGCAGCAGAAGGGCAGATGCGGCCAAGCCGAAGATGTGGCTCACGACTGGCATGCCTTCTTTGCCTTCTCCTGCAATGTCGCGCTCGCTTCAAGTCGGCGGACCGACATATTATCGGACTTGTCGGGAGACGATGCCCTACGCTACGGCTACCTGGTGGTGGGGGCCATTTTGATTCACACTTTCGGAATTACCTAGTCCTCATTTTCTCCAGTAGTGGCATCCACACGGGCCGGAATCACTGACATTTTGACAGTTCCATGTCCGAGAGACGAGCGAAGCCCGTGTTGGACCAGCCGCCGCCAGCCTACGGGATTCGGGAGTGCAGAGGCAGGTCGCAGGCTGAATCCGTAGATACTGGACAGACGCGAAAATCGCCAGGTCGACAATTCCACTTTGTGCGCTTGTGCGCTGGGGGGCCGCCACGCCTCGGCAGTTGGCAGCCATCGATCCCACCAAACTTTGCCCCAAGAAGATGCGGAATGCGGAAATTCCCACTCTCGTCCGATCGGTTACGCGGTTCGCGGATAGAGCTCCAGTCTCCCGACTCTAGAGCATTCTCCAGTCTCCAGAGCATCCTGTATTCGTACGGATACTTTGCACAGAGTGAGCATGTTCTTCTGTGGCTCACTGGCTGCAGCCCAGTGCGGGAAAAAGTTCGCCACCTCCTTGCAGATGATGTTACCAAATCGTCGGGATCCGCTCGGGACGTCGCGCATTACGCGATGGTGCGCCCGTTTGCACATGGCTGTGGCAACGACTGTTGGTATCTGCGCTGCTCTGCACTGGGGCTTGTCAGTCATCGCAGTTTCTGTGGCCTTCATTTTCCAAGGGTTTTATGGATATTGTTACGTGTCCAGGGACAATTTAAGGGGTCCCAGAATGTCCCATGTGGTGTTCCAGGGAGAACCAGTCGACCAGAGCAGTTCGACTTGATTAGGGGTCCTGCTTGCGGGCGCTCCGAAGAGGGGAGATGAGGAGTATCCTTGCAAGTCCTTACGGCGCCTTAGAAAAGCCAGTTGTTGACAACCGAAGAATACGGTCAACATCGTATGGATATGGAGAGCCCTAGGGCCAATCCTAGGGGTGTGAGGTTCAGAAGAGCAAGGACTTGAAGGTGAACTTTGCACAGGGCTCCGGTGGGAATAAGACTACACTACGTTGCAGGGATCCGCGGGTGATATCTCATTTCCTTGCGTGCTGCCCGCTTCTTTAGCGGAGTCCTGCTCACTCTTTTTTTTCTCTTCCGCCCCCTCCTGCTGATTTTTTATTCGTACACGGCCACGACGGTATGGAGCCCAACCGTCCATCGTGGCCTTCTAGAAGGAGGTTGGGATGTTCCTTGGCTGGACTGGGGCACCCTTCTTATCGTTCCTTTCGGTTCGTGTTTGCCGACTGCCTTTTTAAGAAGGAGGTGAAGAAAGGCTTTGGGACCTACAAGCCTTAAGGGTTTAAGCGTCGGGTGTTGGAAGGGGTATTCGGAAGGCGGTAAGGATGTTGGACGTTGAGGGGACTTTTGGGATCTGCTAGGACCGCGGGGAACCTTTGTTTTTTTTGTGTTCGTGTTGTGAAATTTGACCATGGGAAATCTTGGATTACCTTCCACAGGTAGACTAGAGGAACGTTTCGAAACGATGAGGTGTTGCGATTTAGCATGTGGTGATGTGTCGATCGACGAGGATTTTCGGGTCATGGGCGGCTATAGACGGTGTAAAGTGAGGTCGTTGGATTTCTCGCGTGAGGTGCAACTTGCTTGTGGATGGAGGCTCAACGGAAATGAGTTTGTTGCCCTTACGGATATCCACCTGCCATTTCGAGAGTATTCTGTACTGACACGTGAGAAGATATTCTGCCCTTCGAGGCTGGGAATTATTACACAATGGTTACACGTTTGTGAATACAGAAAAGAATCCTTGGGACTTTGTTGGCATACACGTTGTGATTTCATGACATTTCCGTCCACGCTAGATATGTGCGTAGGGTAATCGGGAACAAAGTTTACAGGGGAGGAGGAGGAGGGGTCTACAGACTACAGTCACAGTGGGATTGGTAAGGACGGCCTATGTATGGAAGTTGTTGTGGATGTGATTGTGAAGAAAGGTGGATGGCAAGAACTTTGTGCGAGTTGTATGGACTGCAAGAGTCAAGAGGATGATTTTGAGTTTCGGGGGGCATATTGGGCGATGGGGTTGGCTAGTCAGGGTGCCTTGTTTCGATGGATGTAGTCTGCGGACAGCAGATAAGGTATGTAGGGACTTGATGTGCTTGGCGCGATCGGTGAGGCTGTGAGGCGGTGAGGGAGGATGCGAGATGGGTGGTTGGATCGTTTGGTGTGTGCGGTGGTGATGGGACTGCGGGGGGGGGGGGGGGGGGGGGGGGGGGGGGGGGGGGGGGGGGGGGGGGGGGGGGGGGGGGGGGGGGGGGGGGGGGGGGGGGGGGGGGGGGGGGGGGGGGGGGGGGGGGGGGGGGGGGGGGGGGGGGGGGGGGGGGGACGGGACGGTAGCGGCGATGGTGATGGTTATGGTGATGGTGTGAAGCTTCGTGTTTGGCGAAACGGTTGATCGAGTTTCGATTGAGGCGTTGGG